TCCTTGTGTCGAAACAAAAATGAAACTTCAAAGGAATTTTCCATGAATATTACTATATTAAATTGAAAAAACAAAAAATATACGAGTAACTTATTTTAAAATTTTCCAAAAAAGTGACATGTAGTGACTAGTTTGTAGTGACTCGTCATCTACAATGACTTATCATTCTAAAATACACTATAATGACTAGTTTATAGTGACTCGTACACAATGACTAGTCTTATTTTTATCCAAAAACATAGCTAATCATACTCCCTCCGTCCCACAATGAACTTCATAGTTTGACCTACTCACATATTAAGGAAATAAACTTACTATGGGGTAAATTTTACTGTTTTAACACTGTTTCGACACTGTTTGGCACTGTTTTACACCGTTTCAACACTGTTTGACATTGTTTGACACTGTTTTGATGTAGATTAACTTGCCATTTAAGGAAATGAAAACTTGTTTCAGGGACATCCAAAAAAAGAAGGTGGGAAGTTCATTGCGGGACGGAGGAAGTATTTTTGTATAGTGAAACTCTATTAGTAATAATGTATATTCTCTTATACTACGTCCCTTAAAACTTTATTAACTTTCATTTTTAGATGTTCCACTAACTTTGACACTTTCTATTTTAAATAAAAAAATTGTGGTTTCATTTCATTTTATCTATTCTACACAAATCTCAATCACACCTACTTTGTATATTATGGCCGTTTGTATTCACTCGGATCGAAGTAGTATCGAACCTACTACCTCCGTCCCTTAAAACTTTGCCAATTTTCCTTTTTTGGATGTCCCACTAACTTTGTCACTTTCCATTTTAAGTAAAGAATTTGTGGATATAATGAATTCTCTCTCCTCTGCACAAACCTCTATCACACATTTTTTACTTTATTAATTCTCGTGCCGGTCAAACTTGGCAAAGTTTTAAGGGACGGAGGAAGTATAATGCAACAAAACGTGTCACATGCTTCATTTTGATGGAACTTATTTCCTGAATCGTGAGGCCTTCAATTTTGAATTCAAACTTTTTGTCGATTGGATGCATACTTTCCACGTGAAACTGCAAACAGGGAATCAAAGGGTCGCTAGAAGACGACCCAAATCCCCAGAATGGAAACTTGACTGCGGGAATATTTCAGTCTGAAAAGCATATACCAGACCACAAAAGCAGAGGTTTTCAGCGAGGTTTTTATTGGCCGCGATCATTTTCATCATTTTACCAAGGTTGCGGAAATGGCGACGAGTTCACGCCCGGCGGTGACGAAGCGGGAGTTGAGGAAGCCGGTTTTCGTCAAGGTCGACAGCCTGAAGCCGGGGACCAGCGGCCACACGCTTCTCGTGAAGGTGATCGACTCCAACATGGTGTTGCCGAAGGGCAGCGCGGTGTCGACGCACCTCCGTAACACCAGCATCTCGGAATGTCTTGTCGGAGACGAGACCGGCTGCATTTTATTTACTGCTCGAAACGATCAAGGTAAATATTGTTCATATGCTTTTTAACTGTCGATGCTCACTCTAGGGTTTTGAATGCGAAATGATGTCAGTCCGTCGCGTTTTAGGTTGTTGCCTTGTTGGGTTGATGAATATCCGTACTGAGAAACTGAGAAACAGGAAACAAAAAATTGTTTGATTTATAAAAGAACAAGGTATTTAGCAATTAATAAAAATAAAGTTTGTTTTTCAATTAGCTGGATGAAAGCTTTGTTAGTTTTAGCTTCAAACGCATTACTTTTTATCTTCTACAGATCTTATTTCAAAGCCCATGCGGATATACTATTTAAATTACTCAGACTTTGATCTCTAAAAGTTTGATTAAGCTGTTGCATTCTACCCTTCTCTAGTATAATCTTCCAAATCTCTTGGGACTTCATTGCATTTTATGACCTTGAGTTACTACTCTTATCCTTCACCCCTTTTCCGCTATAGAACCTTATAGTTTTAATATAAATGTAAAATAATGCATAGTATTATTCCTGATCAACCATTATCTAACCTTTCCCTCAACTTGGATATGGTTTATTCTAAAAAAACTTGGATTTGGTCTTAGAGTTGGAAGACTTGTTCAAAGTTTTATATTTTTGGTTGTGATTAGTCTATTTGCACATGATTATGAGAGTGTTTGGATCTGATTCTTAAAACTGCTTCTGCTCATTCAGGGAGCAAAGATAGCAGTTGAAGTGTTTGGATGAACGTGTAGAAGTACTTGTGGTGCTATAATTTACTCTTAGAATAAGTTTTTTTAGAAGCTGGGGGAGATTGGCTTCTAAAAAGTGTTTTTGATTCTGCTTCTGCTTTAAAAAAGAAGCAGAAGCAGAAGCTGTTCCATACACCCCCTATGTTATGCATATCATTGAGGAAGAAGAGGATTCAAGAAAGTACTTTCTTTTTACTTTGTAGTTTGTGGTTTCTCTTGTCTCCTCTTGTGTTGTTCTTTTAGACTTTTAGTACTATTGACTGATGCAGAAGATATATTCTTAAGTTGCTAGGTGGAATAGGGAGTAATGTGACTGCACAAGGTTGAGTATATAAAGTACTACATGTGATTGTTTTATCTTTACCATTTTTCATCATCATTTGATCAGTTCAATTGAAACCGCTGAGGAAAAATCAACAAACACTAATATCTTGTCATTCGTGCTTTTTTAGAGTTGCAACTTAAAAGTTAAAATCACATTTCCCCCTGGCAAGATATTTGATTGCTTATACATATTTGAGGTGGTTGTGATGACATTTCTTAACCAACCAAAATACGAAGTTATGTTCTTTAAGGCTCTGTTGGGAACTCAGAAAAGGCTGGGGTAAGAGATTATGAGAAAATCTTGGAAGTTGTAGAAGAAATTTGGAATAAAAGAAAATGTTGATAAAAAACAGAAAACAAAAGTGTCTTTAAACTTTAAAGATAGCGACCAGAATTCATTCATCTCTGGTTTGGTTATCTTGACTGTTGTTGAGTATCTGCATAATGAATCCTCACAATTGTATAGTAGACAAATGTTACAGCCTAGAGAATGGTACCTCTTCAGCTTAAAGCCCCTTCTTAATCTTCCCCCAATTGGATTTTTTCAAGCATTGCTCTTATTCTATAAAAATCTAGCATTAATCTCATATCATGCTTGCATCAACTAACACATGAAGCCCCGAGTTACTTCTCCTATAAGATTAATATTTCAAAATGCAACTCCAAGTTTTAATAGTTATCATATTGATGTAGGGCTTTAACCTATTGCAGTAAAGATCTTAAGAGTACCAGGAGTAATAATCAATGACATATATGCAACTTTAATGGAATGACCAACTATGTTGAATCTGGTGATAATAACTATAGAATATACGTGGAGGTCTATATAAGACTTATAAGTTGATACAGTAAAAATGTGCATTACAAGATTAGGAAATGAAATAACAATATGAAACGAAAAATATATTAATACATTTATAGTATTCCCAATATAATGATAGTATCCTCTCCTACGGCCTCCCTTCACCCTCCATAAGAAGTAACAAAGTACTTTTATCATATTTTCATCCTCATATATACTACGGAGTACTACTTATTACGTAGTATAACTCATTGTATGCTTATGCAGTTGATTTGATGAATCCGGGTTCTACTGTGATCCTTCGGAATGCAAAGATTGACATGTTTAAGGGATGCATGAGAGTGGCAGTAGACAAATGGGGACGCATAGAGGTGACAGAAGCTGCTTCATTTGATGTGAAAGAAGATAACAATCTTTCCCTCATCGAGTATGAACTGGTGAATGCCGTTCAAGCCTAGTCCTTTACTGGAACTTCATTTTCCTTCAGCTTAGTCGTGTACTTGCTAGCTAGCGTAGTCTTTAACTTAAGTAATTAGTTTCATTCCTGCTTCCCTGTGGACTGTTGAGTGTCTATTGGAAACATATATTGGGGATGCCTCTTTTGTGTAAGCCTACAATGAATTATTCGCTAGACATATGTTAAACTTGATGAATATGAGTAGGAAGTTAACACCTCTATATCTAGTGCCTACGCGACTATGCATATCTTTTCAGATTGTAATTCATTTTACTGGGTACATCCTGGTTTGAATTACTACTAAATTAGTGGGGAGTAAAATTTGATATCTTTCCATTAGTACATAGGTATGACTGTATAAGTATATAAGAATATAAGTATATAACTCATAAAAATTGCAAAGACCCAAAGATTAAAAAGGCTGCTTACTGATGGAGATAAGGAATGAAGGAGATGAGGATGACTGCGGATCTTAAATAGTTCAAGATTATTATTACTGTTGTTATCAGTTATCCTGTTACTTACTCCGTATGCCATGGCTTGAAAATACTATAATTACATTGTAGTACATAATATTACCCTCCTCTCGGTGAACTTTATCAACTTAGAATCATATATTATATGAGAATTAAAAAAAAATAAAGTTTTGTGGTTGAGGTTTATGCAAATGAGAGAAAAAACAGAATTACAAATTAGTTGCGTGGGTTGAAAATTGACAAAAAATTTGGGACAATCAAAATAAGAATGTTGACAAAATCCAATGAGACGGAGAGAGTATATTACAACTAAAACTAGATGAGTTAGAATTCAGTAAATTATATCAAACCAAATTAAACACCCTAAATGAAAACAGTGTTAAATATTTTAAAAAATATACTCACAATAACATATACAAATCTAATTGTTAAATTCCCACACTAGAAATTTGTGAAAGAATAAAGTGCTATATTAAGACGTGTTATTCCTCCTATCAGGTTCACCTTTTAGGATGAAACCCCGGGTCTTAACATAGTATCACCCGATCCATGATGTGGGCCCCCTTATGAAAAATGATGACACAATTATAAAAATGACAATGATGAACCGACGACAAAATGAATGACGACACGATCCAAACGAAGTGTCTGGTCGCGAGGAGGGGTGTTAAATTCCCACACCGGAAATTTGTGAAAGAATAAAGTGCTATTAAGACATGAACTACTCCTCCTATCAGGTTAACATACTTTTATGATGGAACCTCGTGTTAACAGTTAACACTAATTGAAATGACAAAATAATTACAAGAACTGGTGGTAATATTTGTTCACCCACATCCACATATATTTGCCCATCTTTTTGGATATTTTGATCTAAATTAGGACACTGCGGACTTAATTTTAGACCCACACTCATAACTAAATATACATTGGAATCTCATACTTTCTCAACATCACTCCTAATTACATCCCACCGTTAATAAAGGTTTGGTTGATCTTCGATCCAACCTTCAAGATTATAGTAAGAAATGGTGTGTTTTTCTTGACAAGAAGAGAAGTGATTACCACAACAAATATAACCATTTGTTTAAAAGAAAAAACAGACCTTTTGCATTTATGCATGTTACTATTATTTTTACTACACCCAAAAGTCTTTCCTGTTTGCCCAACTGGAGCTTGAATTAGACCCATCTTCCACTCCAACCAAGGAGCCATACAGTTCATCAAAGTGTAACAATCCCTCATCTTTGAAGCTGGAGCTCATTCCTTCATCACAACAACTGGAATTATAATTAGGAGAGATTGAAGATACCCCAGTCTGAAGATGGGCTAGAGATGACCCGCCAATCAACAACATTTCTTCTGCCCGCCTCTTCAGCTCTTCTCGGAGCTTCGCCATTTCTGTTTCAAGCGTTTTCATCTCAGCTAAAGCACTCTCCAGCTTAACTTGAAGAGCACTGTTGTGTAGTTCAAGGCTCTGGTTCTTCCACCGAGCTCGTCGGTTCTGATACCATATTGCGATTTGTCGGGGAGTGACGCCTATGTCCCGTGCTAGCTCGAGCTTGCGCTCTGGCTCGAGCTTCTTGTTGGAGTCAAAATATGACTCCAAGAGTTTCACTTGGTCTTGTGTTAGCCTCTTCTTGTTGTGTTTCATAGATGATGATAGGCTTTTATGGTTGGTTTGAGAGTTCATGCAACTCATTTTAGGTCCCTGTGGGGATTTATGTTAGGAATTTGAAGTATAACCAATGGAAATGATATATATAGGCCAATGAATGTCTGAATGTAACTTGATGCTTGGTATTTATTGTATGGTTTTAAAAATCTGTGATTTATTTGACCTGTCCAAATGTGCAATGCAACTAATTAATGTTCTTGTAGCTCTTGCAAGTGTTTTAATATACAAATTCTTTATCTTTTAATTTATTGTTCTAAAAAATCTACTAAATTTACACAGATTTTGATATGTTGTGAATGTTAACACTGAAAATAACACACTTATCAAGCGGTGACTTCCACATTGTGTTTACTGTTTAGTGTGATTTTTTTCTTGCAATATGATTGTTTTTGAAAGTGATTATAAAAGAAAAATCTCTCTTAGAATGTTTTAACTTAGACTTAGTTTCAGATCAAATTAAACCAAATCTGACTTTGGCATACATTCAATGCATAGAAACCAAGCAAATATTATTCAGACTAGACCAGACAGTTCATACCAGATCAGATTAAAATAATCCAAATCAAATCATATGAGGTTAGAGAATTTTAGTTCAATCAAAAACATTTTAAGAATATGATAACTACCTCAAATGCAATTCAGGAACAAGTACTATTTGACTTCCATGGAATTGAGCAAAAAACGTCATGATTGACAAAACATATGCACAACCTTTTAATTAGATACGTAGTAATACACAGTAACTCATTGTCAATATTTACTCCGACATATATCTATCAATAAAGGTAGAATCTTTTTCTCGTCAAGCGCGTCTGACGGGGAGATCCATGCAGACTTGCCCATTTGAGCCTCTTCCTGGTAGATTTTTTTGATGAAATTTTTTGAGTTTCTCATCAAATCTAGTTTATGCATACCAAATTTCAGCTCAAAATTCGATTGAGAAGACAGTCAAATAAATTCTTGAAACATACTGCATTTTATATATGCGCATAATGTGATGTTTCAATGATTTATTTGACTGTCTTCCGGATCAAATTTTGAGCTGAAATTTGGTATGAATAAACTAGACTTAATGAAGAACATGTTCAAAAAATTTCATCAAAAAATTACAACGGAAAGACCCTCGAACGGGCAAGTCCGCACGACGCTCCCCGTCAGGCGAACCTCAGGATCTTTCCTCAATAAAGGTAATTCTATAACAAAAAATTACTTGGATTAACATTGTTTAAACTTCACAATTATTCTTTTGTCATGTTATTCTCGTATTTTTTCTTTGGTATATCCGAGTAAGTCTGTCTCAAACAAATCTTCTCAAATATGTTCAATGACTTTATTGTTTTAGTAAGACTACATGAGTCTTATTTCGAGAAGAACTAAACATTTTAGAACTTTATTCTTGTTCTACTCCTATACTAAGCAATTTCTATATTTTATTTCTACTTCAAATCATCAATTCAATCAACCAAATCAATCCCTTTTTCTTAATTAATATGATCACACATCATTTCTTCCCGACTCGATTTCAGTGAGGCGGATTATATATAATCAACTATTTGGTGCCTAATAATTAACATGTAAATCAATCAAAACAGCTGCAGTATATCATAACCGACGGCTATAAGATCTTAGGATAAGTCAAAAAATAAAATAAAATTCCCAAATAATATACTTCCTCCGTTCCATAAAAGTTGCAACATTGGAATTTCTGCATTATTCACACACCTTACTTTGACTACGATTTTCTCATAATATATATAATAAAAATATTATGTATAAAATATTAATAAATTTGTATTAGTGTAAATTTCCAATATATTAACTTTTTTTAATGTTTACTAATACGTAAATAAATATAATTATAGTCAAAATTGCGCGTTGGTAAACGTGAAAGTCAAACTGTTGCAACTTTTATGGAACGGAGGATAGTATTAGCTACCTTTCATAAAAACGTCAAATTTTAAAGATGGTAGCTAGTCGGCACTCTGAGAGTATTTCGGACAAGGCCGTAAGGTTGGTGGGTGTAGTCCAATGACCATCCACCCCAAGTCTCTCCTTTGTGGGAGGTCTTGGGTTCGATTCCCACCAAGGGAAGATGAGGCTCATCTTCCCTTGGATTTAACTGTCTAGGGACTTTGGAGGGTAGTTCATAGACTCCAGAATTATGAGAGCGTAAACCCCGACACCTGGATTATAAAAAAAAAAAGAGTATTTCGAACAAAACTAAGAACACCCAAATATAAATGGTAGATTCTACGGTACCCTTAAGGTACCGTACCTTCGTCCACATGGACCAATCAGAATGAAGTAGTTGAATTATTTAAATCTAAATTAAAAATGATGTAATGATTTGAACCAATCAAGTGAGTGGTAGGTACGATACCCGATCGAAATGGGTAACGGAGTTGTCACCGATATAAATTACTTGTCTCGATCGAAAGCCGTCGATGTAGTTAGGACGACTTAAGACTTGAAGATGACTGATAGCTCTTTTAATTAATTACTTAATTAATTAAATTAGTTAATTAATTAATGGAATCAGCTCGTTGAAGATGGCTGACTTAATTACTTAGCTTCCTGTGCATGAGCGAGTGTATTAATATTCCACGTGAAGTTGGGGCCTATTACGCAACTAGATAATTGATTAAGATGTATTTAGAGGGAAAGATATACACTAAATAAATTTATCCTTGTCTTCTTAGATTATAATAATAAGTATGTACTTCGTTTGAAAAATTCTATTTTATTCCCTATTTCGAAACAAGTATTATAATAAACAAGTTCCAACTTCCGATGTTTAATAGGATCATGTACTTGGCCAATTTTTCTATTGCTCCTTTATTTAAAGTACGACAAAGAGTTGTTATGAGCTGTCTAAATAGCTGCAAATTTATGAGAATGAATATGAAACAAATATTATCTGAAGAGAAAAACAAAAAGGAAGATATGCAACATTATATTACCACCTAATTAGCAAGCATAAGCATATACTCTTTCCGTCCCTTAAAACTTTGCCATCTTTCCTTTTTGGGACGTCCCAAAAAATTTTTCCACTTTCTCTTTTAATCAATTATTTTGTGTTTTCTTGTGTTTTCTGTTATTTCGCTCTCCTCTTCACAAATCTCAATCACACAGTTTTTACTTTATTATTTTCCGTGCCGGTCAACTTTGACAAAGTTTTAAGGGACGAAGGTAGTATTACATACGGAGTATATAAAAAAAGCATAACACATACATATATGATACATACACACATACTATACACACGCATATACTCCGTATAATATGGACAAGATGAGTGTGATTAGGGATGACAATTGTGACACATACCATGGATACCCACACCTAACGGCTCTGGTCAAAATGAGTAAAAATGTATTGATCGGGCAATTGGTATGAGGCGGGAAATACCCGTTTTATTATTACGCGTAACGGTATGTTTACGGTTTTATACATATGATTTGGATCAAAAATACTTGTTGGGTACGTAATAAGGCAGTTTTGGAGTGGGAAAGTTACCCGATGGGGAGGGTACGATTATATGCATAACCTTCCCGTCCCTGATCCGCCTTATTGGCATCTCTAAATGCGATCTAGTGAAAGATTGAGAAAAAAATTGATGTGTACGTTAAATCTTTGAATTTTGTCACGTTTTTCTGAAATAGAGATGTATATTGCCATGGATCCGAAATTAAAGTTGCATTTTGTAAACTATACTCCATACTTTAAATGGTACTTGTACAAGATAATCGCTTTTTGAAAAAACAAAAAGAGCCGCTTTTTATGAAAAGAAAAGAGCACTAGTAATACTTCGTATATTAAGTGCCATTTTTTCATACTTTTTATATACGCCTCTTCATTTATAGTAATTGACTTGTAAGCAACATTAGAAAAAAATTGTCTTCACTTATATACATGGATGAATTTAGAATTTTAGATACATATATGTTGGTACACACCAATAATATCAAGTAAAAACTACTCCCTCCGTTCCTATTTTATCTTCCAAATAGGTTTGACACACAATTTAAGATAGTGGGTATTGTGTGGCGGAGAGTTGTGCAGAGAGGAGACAAATGTGTAAGAAATGTTATGAACCACAAACTCTTTATTAAAAAGGAAAAGTAGAAGTTTTAATTGGAACGATCGGAAAAGGAAAGTTGGAAGTTTTAATAGGAACGGAGGCAGTAAAAGGCTTCTTAAGAAGTGGTGAAGTCATAAATTTGTTGACTCAAAATTCAGTTCAATTCATGACACACTATCTAAGCAATTATTTTGAAACAACATCTCACTTGAATCAGTTATGCGTGATTTCAGGTAAAAGCCAACTTAGATATGAGATCGTTTTAATGAGACTGAATAAAAATATCCCCCAGATAATCAATATATACTAGGAATAAAGAGATTAATGTAGAAACATAATGAATAAGTCAACTCTTGCATATTTGTATTAATTTACTTTGGTGATTGATAAGAAATAATTAAGAAAAAATGGCACCAAAATTACTATTGGGCTTTCTCAAGACACAAATATGACCACTTTTCATTTTTCCAAAAATATGACTTCACTCAATTTTTGAAACCCGTTTAACCGGTAATCACAACTTCCTTGCCGGTTACCCACCCACCTTTTGAAGAAGAATTAACCGTCTCTGCAAATTCTGCACCGCCTTTCTTCGCGCTCTTGAATGTCGTCTTTCTTCTCGCTCTTCGATGTCGATTAACAATGGAAGGTAGCGATTCGATTGCTTGATACGCGACACCATTTTTTCTCCCCCGTCTATATTCTCCGTGTTTCTACTCGGCGATTTCGAATTCGACTTCACCACTCGTCGTGTTTCTCAACTTCGTTCAACACCTCTGTTCCTACTCGGCTCATTACTTGAGGTACGCTGTCGATTTTATCTCGTTAGTTTCCGTTTTCGTTCACCAACATTGTATTCATTGTATCTGGTTTCCACACTCCAATTTCACCAACATTGTATTTTTTTTCAATCTCGTAAGATTACTGCTCTTCTCTTACTATTTTGATTGCATTTATCTATCGACGGTTTTCAACTGCAACTTGGACTATTGCATGTTATACTGTGCTTGTGGTAGCTCCTCTTTATTTATATGCACTCATCATTTTCCGCTTAATTTCAATAAAAGTGATGCTTATGGTTCTGTTTGTGTATTGTGTACCTCATTTGATATATTTTTCAGATGGCTGACAATGCTTCTACATTATCTCCTAGTCCAAGTCTAGCAAAACGCTCATCTTCGCGTTTATCATTGCCACACAAATTAAAATGTGAATGCATTCTTTTGTTTGCTTATTTTCTGTTGTTAAAAGACCAGTACCTACATTATTCCACTATTATGTATATCAAATTCATCTTCTCCTTTTTAATATGTTTGTTTAGACCTTCAAGAGACTTGTCAGCAAGGATGTTGTTTACATGGACATTAAAAATATGAGAGTGAATACCTTTTCTAGACTTTATGACTCCATAAACCTTGTTAGGTCTAAACTTCTTCCTCACGAACTTGCTATTTTTGAGAAGTCTGTTTTTGGAAAATTCTTAGCTTCTAAGGAAATGTCATGTTGTGGTCAACTTATACATCACCTTTTAGGGAACATGGTTGAGGTAAGCAACATTCAGAGTGTTTTGTCGTTTGAAATCGAGGGTAGGATCATCTCATTTTCTGTTTCTGATTTCTCCCACATTATGGGCTTTCCTTATGATGAAACTGTCTCTATTGTGCATGATAATGATTCTGAGAGGGGTGATATCTGGAATACATACTTTCCAGATTGTAAAACAAAAGTAAATCGGGATATTAAGAGTGTATTTCAGTCCATTCAGAGGGGTAGAGAACCAGAAGAAAACATCGTTAAGCTTTCCTTGTTATATGTTTTGTCCCATGTTTTTTTGGCTGCCGAAGGTCAGGTTTCAATCCATTCAACATACCTTAACCTTGTAGATGATCTAGTTGCTTTTAATTCTTACCCATGGGGCAGAGTCATTTGGGATGACATGGTAGGTTATTTCAAGGCTTCTTTAAAGAGCATTGAATCTAATCCTTCCCATTACAATGTTTATTGTTGTGTCATTGCATTACAAGTGTGGGCTGTTGAGTCATTCCTCGCTCTTAAAGTTATAAATCTAGCTCGTCTAGTAGATCCTTGTTCTGAACCAAGTATACTGAAATGGTTCTCCACTGCAAAGCCATCCAGCGAATCCTTGAAGGATGCAATCTTTTGCAACAAAGGAGTAGGTTTTTCATTTATTCTCTTCTTCTTTTTGTTGTTATTTTCAAAATCTTGTTTAATATATTTACACTTTCCTTCTTTTTTTTCAGTTCTTTTCACTCCCATTTCACAATCTGACAGTGTTCGTGAGCTTGACAACCCTCCAAAACCAGTCCCATTGAAGAAAAAAGGCGTGTCAAACCTTCTCATGAATCTGAAGACAGATTTACCCCACCACTACCTGATACTACAACAAGTCCTGATGCCCAAACTCACTTCTCTGATTCTGCTCCTCAAAATAATCAAGCTGCAAGTTCAAGTCAAGCAACAAATTATGAAGCTAAGATTGTGGTGTTTGAGGAAGAAGTTCAAAAGTTAAGAAATGAGATATTAGGATTTCATGATAAGTTCAAAGATCAACATATTGTCATTGATAATCTCAAAAGTCTTCTTGAAGCTTCAAAGTCCAAAGTATCTGATACTGGAAAAGGGTCTCCACAGCCGTTTACCAGAGCTCCTATTGACTCTCATCAAGCTCATCCCTCTGCAATTGAACCTCCCCATGACGTAGAGCAACACAATGAACCTCCCAAAGTATCTAAACCTCCCAATGCAGTGTTGGATGTTACTGATGGTGAAATAATTGTGGATGTTGATGACACCACCAATGTTGGTTGGACGCAGGTAATGATTGAGGCTTTTGAACTCTATGATCCAAAAGTAAGTTCTCTTTGTCACTTTTTTTGTCAATTTACTCAGTGACATCTTTGCAGACGTTTGATTTATTTTATTTTTGTTCTGTAGCCGCAAGTCTTGCCTACTGTTAATCTGGCATCTTCTTTACCACCTCAAGCCCAGTCAGATACTCCCTTAAACATCCAGGTCCTATTCTTGTAACTTACATAGTATTTCATTATTTTACATGCTTAGTCATTTGGTATTTCTAATACGCATGTGATTTGTGGCTTTGTTATTTAATTAATTGTACAAATACTTACACTTATTTAACTCTATTGTACAGGTTTCCCCTTCTAAGACTAGTGCAAATATTTTCTTTGATGCTATACAAGAACCAGGCAGACCGAAACGCAAAGTGCGTTCCCCAATACGTTACACTCCAGGTTCTGATGCTCTTTGCAAAGCTAAGAAGAAGGAACGTTCTGTCCAAGCTATTTGTCCATTCAGCCATGATCCGTTTGCTGAGTTCAAATCTGAGTCTGAAAGAATTAATTTCTGTAATGAAATTATGGAAGGAGTTATTAGAGATCACCGGTCTTTATGTACAGTGACTAAGTACACACCAGAAATTGATGAAAATTTTCATCTGGATTTGGATTGTGGATTGGAAGTAGAGAGAAAATCATGGCTCTATCGGCTACATGAACTTGGTCAATGGCTTGATGCCACAGTATGTAACTGTATATCCCTCTGAATGTGTAAATTTATTTGTACTCTTTTTCTTCTGTTATACTAACTGTATTTCTATTATTTCAGCATATCCAGAGCATTGATTTTTATCTGCGCCTGAAAGATGCTACATTTAAGTTTCCCCAAAAATTTTCTACTTCCTGCACTTACTTTCCAAGTCATCTTAATGCCCTTTATGATTCTTACAAGTCCGGTTCAGGTGATGTATCAAAAGCAGCCAACGATCAATATGTGATTGATGTTATTGCAGGCGATGAAACTCAATACTTACGCCCGTGGTATGAATGCGACTACATCTACTTTCCATTTAATCTTGTTTCTAAACATTGGGTTCTAGTTGTTCTAGATGTTAGTGCAAACACTCTGTGTGTGTACGATACCAACAACAGATGTGCATCCATTCCAAAATCTTTGCGTACTGAAATGCGCGGTCTCATTCACTATCTTCCTCTCATCTTGTCTCACATGCGGTCTTGTGCCCATGGATGTGTATATGGTGCTGTTGGTTCTGCCACTGTTAAAATGGCCCATGACGTCCCACAACAGACCAATGGGTAAGCGGCATATTGTCTAATTTAAGTGTTTTGACCTTTTTCAACTCAAAAAACAGATTTTTAAAGTTTTTTTTTTATTTTTTCAGGGGAGATTGTGGGCTTTTGGTGATGAAGATTGTTGAAGTACTTCAAATGGACATGGATATCCAGCTTGTGTGCCCCGAAAAAGTCCCTTCTTATCGAGCAAAGTGGGCTCATGACCTTTACGTTCATGGCACTTCAATGGAAAAAGCTATAGTTATACATTCATGTGTTGTTTAAGTTTGTTTGTATTGAATACTAAATATGTTCTACAAACTTGTAGTAGTCAAAACTTAACCTCTTTTTGTGACTTTTTGGATTCATTTTGATGTGCCGTACTTATGTACTTCATTACTACTCTTGAATAGTTACTTTGGTTTTATGGTATTGATAAGTACTCTGATTAGTTCTTCTTTTTGTGACTGTGTAATTCTTTGTGTTGTTAATTCTTTTCACAATGACACCATTATTATACTTCTATATAATTTATATTTTTTACTTTCAAACATAAAAGAAAACAATTCAATTTTGTATCACTGACAATGTCAAAATAGTAATAGTGACACATGATGCAGTGACACATTTGTCAGTTACATGGTGTTGACACTTAAACTGCCACATATTGCACTGACACATGTGTTTAGTTACATAATGTTAATACTTATAGGTTATACTCCTAGTGAAACGTTATTCTAGTTAGAACACTGACAGTGACAAAGTCTTATAACTACTAGTGACACTTTTTGCAGTGACAACAATGGTAGTGACAAGGCTCTCTTAGTGACAAACTTCACCAGATGCTTTCATCTTCTAGTTTATTAGTTGTGGCTGCAATTCATATATATCTGCACACACACATAAAACTACACATTTTTACCAATGATAAACTCAATTTATTATCACTTTTAAAACTACTGAAGTTCAAATCAATTATGTCCCAAGAGACACATCACACACAGAGATAATGTGAAGTACACATTGTTCATTAAAATAGTAACTACATATAACATTGAACATATCATCATCATCTCAATCCTTAGTGACGTGGTATCGGGTTGTTGCACGTCTTTTGATTGTGTCCATTTTGTTTACATCTTCCACACCTTTGCCGTGTAACAAACTCACCAATTTAAGGAATCCTTTTATTGTTTGGTCTTCCAGCTGACCGTTTCTTTGATATTGGTGGGTAAATAATCCGACTTCTTACTTCACTAGGGACATCTGCTTCACAATACTCACCTATTGGTTCTATGACTCCTGCATAAGCTTCCAATCATGCGCTATTCTTGTAATATGTTGAAATGTGGTCATAGCAAGATAATCCAGTTCTTGACCTAATGGATGCCACTACATGAGCACACACAAAGTCCTCCAATTGAAACTCTCTACAAGTACATTCTCTGGACTCAAGGTCAACCACAAATGCCCTACACCTTTGATCTATCACTTCATACTTAAAAATAGTGCTTGGTCTTACCTGTAAAAAATACAAAACAATCATATAAGTGGTTATATATGAATCCAATATAATTCTAACAATAATAAATCACAATACACTTCACTGGCATAAAAACAGTGTAACTGGAATTCAAAAGACCAATATTATAAGCTTTTATTAATAAAATTTTACTCACAATCATGCCGGCAGAATCTCTTAGCAAATTTACAAGCACAGCTTCCGCTTTTGGGGATAAAGTTGCTGCATTTTCTGTGGCTTCTTTTCTTCTCTCATGAAACCATGTTTGCAATTTTAGCCTCAGAAACTCAACCAAAATGGATATCGGGTACTCCCTAGCAGTGGCATCCACATTATTGAGGGACTCTGCATTATTGGATGTCACTATTGAGTACCTCCTTCTTGTCATTTTACATCTAGCCCATTTTTCACAATCGATTTCAGCTAGATATTGTCGAATCCTTGGGTCTTCAGAGTCCAGTAACTTCATAAAGTATTCATACTTTCTGCTTGTTGCCGACCTAGCAGCAGCATTGAAAAACTTTATAACATTTTTCTTTTTCCCACCTAGCTTTGAAGTTATATTTCCAAGTATGTGTTGCACACAATACCCATGATGAACACCAGGATATACCACTTTCACAGCACTAATAGGACCTTCGTTTCTATCTGATACAAAGCACATTTCTTCTCTTTCTCCAATTGATTCTTTAAGTTTAGTAAAGAGCCACAATCATGATTCTTTGTTCTCCTTTTCACACACTCCAAATGCTATTGGAAACAAATGTCGGTTTGCATCAAGAGCACATGCTGAAAGAATTGTCCCACGATATTTTGCTTTTAAAAATGATCCATCTACACTAAGTATTGGCCTACAAGCAAGCCACCCTTTTCTACTTGCTCCCAGTGACATAAACAAGTTCTTGAAATTATTCTGAGAATCAGAATTGAGAGATATAATAGATCCTGGGTTTTCTTGGTCCATTATATGACATAACATCGGCAATTTCATGCATGACTCTTTATCAGTTCCCGATATTGATGTCAAAGCCTTTTCCTTAGCTCTCCATGCTTTCTTGTAATTCACATTAACTCCCAATTTCCAATTTAAGTCTGCCATTATGGCTTTTGGTTGATATGGTTTTCGGGAGGCATCTAGGTATTGGTGATTGATCATTTTTCCAATTATCAATGCACTGGCTTGCCTATTCCCACTCAGCCTACTATCAATTGAGCACCTGTGTACATTATCAAACCTGTAACAAATGAAAATTTATTTAACACATTAGTATTGATTGTTCACCTAAAAACAAAATACTTTTAATATATAGTGACACAAGATTTGATGTAATTGCAACATGTTGTCACTGAAATATACCTTCTCACTTCAAAATAGTCACTTTTATTCATTCTCACCCCACGTACAGCCCATTTGCACTTTTCTTCATAGCAAATAACATGAATAACATCAGGATGTGAGATTTTGGTCTTGAACTGGAATTTGTTATGAAGTGCATAGAGTTGCAAAGTCTCCTTTAAACTTTCTTTGTTTGGATATATTCCATTGATCCTTAATGTTGTATCCATAGCTTCCATGTCACCACTTCCTCCCCCACCCAACCATGTCAACAACGGTGTGTCTATGGTTGAACATTGCTGATAAGTCATTGCATATTCATCCAACACCTCCTCATTATTACATCCACCCACTGTAGGAGCCACATTTGTTGTACTGATTCTTTCTTCTGAATCTGCTACTCTTATGTTAGTGTCACATACCCCTTCCATGTCACTTTTGCTATTTATTTGCACACACAAAGGGTATTTTGATACTTGTGTACAATCAACACCTTTAAGATGCAAATAAAACTGTACACTACTGTCACTGTCAATCTGTGTTGGATCAAAATCTTTATCTATTTGGTATGAGATACAGTTGATAGTGACATCTGGCTGAAGATTCAAAGCATCTTGTAAATCCTTAACCAATTCATTATATGATGACTTTGCATTTACCAAAACTCCATGGGTTGATCTTGCTACAAATTTCTTCTTAACGTTCCAGTGGCCATCTAACATTACTGTGGCCATAACTTTCTCCATTTTAAACAAAATAATAGCATCCAATTTTTTCACTTCACCTGAAAAGATAACAACCAAGTTCAATGATAGAACATACTATGAAACTAACTAAGCCCTTAGTTACATTCATGATATCATCACCATTACTCTTACACTGCAGTTACTACATGCCTAGCAGTTACTAAAATCAAAGAGAAAGTTCAGTAAGCTCAATACAGTTCGCAGTTACATTACGGTGTCACTACAGAGTTCCAAATCAAAATTCTATCAACTTATTTCAAATAAAATTCTGAAGGAATTGCAAGCAAATTTCATTGAATACACTAGGCATTTTGCAGTTACACTTTTATGATTACATGTATTACATCTATACAGTTCTATATGTATTACATGTATTATATCAATCAGATGAATTGAATTTGAAATTCAGAAAACGGTAAACACAACATCAAATTTTGAATACGGTTCATGTACTCGGTTCTACATCAATCACTGCAAACACAACACAGTTTCCAGTTACATGATGCTAAACAAACTTTAATTCAAATGAATTTTTTCAAATCGAAATTCAGAAGGAAAGTTATGAAAAATTCAACGAAAATATGAAATATTATGTTCGCAGTTACAATTGTCAGATCATCTCTATGTTCGCAGAAGTGTTGATGTCCAGTTATCAAATTCGAACTGATTAACGAATAAGTTAGACATCAAAATTACCTATGCGAGTCTGCGATGATCTTCGGTTTCCTTGTTCTGTTCGAGTTCGTTCCTGCGGTTGACAGACTTTTAGGCGCAACCGACTGTTTCTTAAATTCCGTTTTATTAGTTTTCGTTTTTGACCGGCCACATCATGCAGCTCCGTATTTTTGGAAAGTAATTCCTAAACTATGACCTTGGGCGTCACTTTTTAGGCCCAAATTTTTTATGATCACTTTTATGGAAATATCCTATGCCCTAGTAATATTAGAGGATTTTTCCCAATAATTAATTTAATGTTGGACACTTGGATGTGGCATCGCTAAATTGATGGACCCGTTTAGCTTGGTTAATTGTGTGGGGCTGATGGCATTTGGACCATGCATGCTGCTTGATCGCCATTATAATCCCAAGAAAGCATCTAATGAACTAATTTAAAAAGGGTAAATACGTTATTTATTCATTAACCTTAGCTTGCTTTTTTGGTTTGCTTTGGATCACCTTAAGTACAATACTACAATTACTACTAGTTAGTAATCTAGATGAACTAAGCTTGATAAGTCTTGGTAGAATTACTACTAGTTTACAAATTAGAGGAATCACATGTACAAAAAAATTATCTAGATAAGCCTTAGATTAGTTGTTATAGAGAAAATTGTAATAAAACACACCCCTTCCATCCTTATATAAAAGTCCTCATTCATTTTACACAATTTAGGAAATTGTGATTGTTTGACACTGTTCGACATTATTTTACATTGTTTTGTTTGACAAAAAAGGAAAAATGACTGTTATTTAGGGACGGTCTGGAAAGAAAAAAAGGCTTTAATTTAGGAACGGAGGTAGATTTTCTCAAATAGAATAGTGATGGTTTTCTACCATAAATATGATTCATTCACTCTTATTTTATGAAATTTTAATTGTTGTAATGAGACTAGGTCACTAGATATGAAATAAAACATAAATAATTTTATATTTAAACTTTGTTTATATTTTATTCCTATTTTAAACAATTTCCCCACTAAAAACAATTTCTTATGAAAGTAGTTTGATTAAGTTTCAGTTTGTTTTATAGGATAGTATAACTCAACCTCTTGATGTTCTCCAAGGGGAATCCAAATTCGAAAAAAAAGAAACTACTTTATGTTATAAAAAGACCTTTTAAATGAGTTAAATCTGTTTTTAATACTAGTAGAGAGTTCTATGATAAAAAATTAGAATTAGAATCGGAGTTTTGAAAATTGATTACCCTAATTTCTAAAAAACTAATTCAAGATGCAATTGAAACACCTAGAAATATATATTCACTTTTGCTCAAGCACTTCAATATTTCCGAAGAAACTTACTCCCTCCGGTCCTTATTAAAGTTCTCAGTTTGATTTCACACAGATTAAGAAAATAAATTTGATTTTACTGTAGAGTGCACTGTTTGACACTGTTTGGACATTGTTTGATATTGTTTGGGACTGTTTTGCACTGTTTTGTTTCCTACAACGAAAGTGTGAACTTAAATAAGGGACATCCCAAAAAAGAAGTTTTCAAGTAAATCAAAACATTCTCTTCCAAATTAAAAATGAAAATGCCTATATCCATTTCAATAGATTTAGGGCCTTCTGAACGGACTCTTCCAGGTTCCAATTAAGCAGAAATGGCTCTCTCAACGGCCTCTGTGTTCCGCAGGTATCATGTTCTGTCGCCACAGCTTCCTTTTACATCTTCATATTTATCTTTAGGACTCCAATGCAGCCGCAAATTCAGCGTCTTTGCCGCTCAGTCAATGACAGAAGAATCAACATCGTCTCTGATTTCTGCGGCAGCCCAACCGCAGAACGTTCGGTGGAAGCCGACGTGCTTGTACTTCACTCAAGGTAAGTGCACTAAGGTAATCACTTCCCTCAGCAACCTCCTTTAAGAAATTTTCACTTTTACAACTACATTTTTGATTTTATGGCGTCAATTTAGATGGATGATGTGACACATACCGAGAAGTTCAATCATAGTTGCTCCGTGGCTGGGAAGCTAGCCGCCAATGTTTTGCAATCGAGGAAATTGCTGCAGCAGGGTTTAGATTTTCTTCTCGTGCTCGATTTGGAAGGGAAAGTTGAAATACTTGAATTCCCCGTACTATTGTTCGATACGAAAACCATGGATGTTGTAGATTTCTTTCATAGGTGAGATTCTTTTTGCTTAACATATACTCCCTAGTATCGAGATTTGAGAGCTTTACATGTTTGGATTTTAGATTGATATGCAGATTGAACCATAGCTTGATAGCATTTTAGTGTGACAATATGAAGCTGTATGGCCACTTCAACAATTCAAAATTTTCAAAGAAATGATGTAAGATGCCAAGATCAGCAAAGCGCTAAATCTTAGAATTTAATTGGTAGCTTATGGATGTGATATCTATTTTATCATGTTAGAATAATAAACTACGGAGTAGTAGTATTACTTCAATCGATATGACACTTAAAGCTTCCTAATTTTAGATGCTCCTGCTTGAGAAGAAACTGCTGCAATTCTGTATGAATAGAAACTTAAATGTTAAACCAAATGAGAATAAGAAATCATATAATACTACTAAAATTATTATTACTTCACTACTACTTTTTGTGCTTTAACAAGGTGCGAAAGGAAGCTCTAAGTGGATTAAGAAAGAAAGTTACATCTTTCAGGTTAGACGTGAAACATATGAATATAACCTGGAGGTCAGGTCATCCCAATGAGACAAAAGTAAAACACAAACCAACAATTATAGTCTTTTACATGTGAGGTGACTCTGTATAAACAAGTGGCCATATTACTTTGTGTTTTCAGGCTAGTTTAGTTTGTTTCATGTCAAAACAATAATTTGGGTGCAGAGAGAATAAATTTCAATCTTATGCTCTTTTGTTTTTTTCACAAATATTTATACAGGTTTGTCAGGCCCTCAAAAATGAGCGAGCAAAGAATAAATGAATATATAGAAGGAAAGTATGGAAAAATTGGGGTTGACAGGTATGGTTTAGGCTTACCTTTCTAAAATGTTGTTCATTTCTTTTTGTTGCATTCAATGTTATTTCTTTGCAAAATCATACAAACTAAGCTCAGATAACTTTAATGGTTAATAAATTTGGATTAGGAGGTGTAAAGAAATTTTGTTACTAGTAGGCGGTTGCCCCTTTGGGTAAGTGATACTATTAAAACTTTTTGTTCTTTGGAAACACTATATTTTCAAAACGTAGTTTGATTTGGTGATGGAGCCAAAGACTCACTATTTTTTGGCTTGGGAATGTGATAGAATATTGTCAATTCATGCAATTTGCGACGCGACTTTCACTATGGGTCATCCGGAAATAGTCCCTTTGTGCTTTAGTACAGGGGTAGGACTGCGCACATCTAACTCCCCCTTACCCCACCGAAAGTGGGAGCATGCTGAGGTAATTAATAATGATGAGTTTGATTTGGTGATTTTAAAACTTCCTTTGTTATTTAAAAACAATGTATCTTCAAATCGTGCTTTGATTTGAAAACAGGGTTGCTTTAAAAGTGTCTAAATTAATTTAGTGGGTGACTGTTTAGTAAAACATCAATACTGCGTATATACTATGTAATTTATAAAAAATTAACCTTTTAGATCGTGCAAAATGGTTGAAACAAGAAAGTAACAAACTCGAGATGCTAAAGTTGATAAAGCTACAGCTCATTGCATTTTACTTCCATTTCGAGAGCCAAAATGCTTAGCCAAACATTTTCTAATGAAATAAAGTCTCAAAACCAAAAGGTTAAAAATTTAGAATCCAGTGATGGATAGTTACTTTTTTTTTTTATCTTTTGGATTCAATCCTCTATATTTTGGTTCTAGTCCAGGCATAATCCATTTATAAGTTCGGGGGTGGTGTGTAATGTGCTGATTTCCGTGTGCTTACACTCTTCCAGGGTTTGGCATGATACGGCAATCCCTTTCGGAGAAGTTATCAAGCAATTTGAAACTTGGCTAGCTAAGAATGAATTGTGGCAAAAGGGGTGGGATGGCTGCCTAAATAAGGCTGCGTTTGTGACCTGGTAAGTCACCTAAAACGAGAATATAAAACTAGAAAAGCAATCTCAAGATTTTCTGATCCTTAATTTAAATGTAAAGGAGAACTCTTTAACTGTAAAAGATAAAAAATGATAATAGACACGTGATGATAAGCAATAGTGTTTTTTCAAATAATCTATTCAGGCAATAGATGGATCTCTTAGTCACTGGCTATGGAGCCGTGACTAAGAGCGATCTTGGAATCTTTTTGCCTTCTGGTTTTTTCTACTTATGCTGCATATGCAAGTGTATCAGATGTGCATTTGATATGATGCACTGTTGTTTTGAGTTGCTTTTCGTGTTGATTTTCTCATGAAATACAAAATCATGGAAAGAAATTACTGATATCCAATTTATGAATTGCCTGTAACAGTGGGAATTGGGATTTGAAAACAAAAGTTCCGCAGCAGTGCAAACTATCAAAGATGAAGCTTCCGCCATATTTTATGGAATGGATCAATCTGAAGGACATATATCTGAACTTCTATAAGCGAAGGGTCAGCATATATATTGGAACTCTTTTTAAGTCCCACCCCTTAATTGGTGCATCATTAATGGTTTACCTCAGCTTGGTTTTGTTTTGTGGCACTGCAGGCCCCAGGGATGCTTTCCATGATGAGGGAACTGAATATTCCCCTTTTAGGCAGTCACCATCTTGGTATAGATGATTCCAAAAACATTGCAAGGGTGTTGCAGCATATGCTCAACGACGGTGCTTGCTTGCAAGTAACTGCAAAAAGAAGTCATGTTTCTCCTGAAGAAGTTGAGTTCCTCTTTGAAAATCGTATTAGATAGCTGGGAAAGTAACATAGAATCGTATTTTAGGTTATTTTGGCCTTGTTTCACGGACTTGTTTTATTTGTCTGTGACCGTGTCTAACTTTAAAGTTGCACTGTAGTTCTTTGTGTCCATCTTTACTTCTTCGTCTCCTTTTGCAACGTATACTTGCACAACTTAGATGTATTCACGGTGCTTGTAGTCTTGTACATCAATTGACAACACAAATTTACATAACTTGTCGTTAACTTGAAAGTGGTTTCGGATTCTCTTTACTAAGGGCTACAATTCGATATGTGTTACACTCAAAACGGATAACGGGTGAATGCGAAATTGATTCTCGAAGTTCACCCGTTGAAATGAGAAAACTAGGAAAAAGATGAGTTTGTAGTCATGGAATGATTCATAAATCCCACACCGGAAAATTCAGTGGATTTTCACTCCTTATAAAGGTGACCCTTTTTGAAGGAGTTAAGATTCCTAGGTGGAAAGACTCTCTTCACGCGCAGGGGGTGCTGATCAAATTCGGAAAACAGAGAAGAAAAATTGCGACTTGCGTGCGCGGGCGACTTGCGGACACAAATGTCGTCAGAAAATCTATCTTTCAAAGATACGATATGATTTAATTATTGTTTCTTCCCGTAACGTTTTATGCTTTCCTATAACCACTTTTGCTCTGCACCATAACTGCTTGCACCAGAAGTCGTCCGGAATGTTACAACACTTAATGCCCAACGTTCTCCTTTAATGTGTCTTTAAATGAATAGTTTTTTGACATATTAATGCCCAACGTTCTGGTCATTTATGTTCAACGTTCAGGTTTATTAAAGGTCAGTTAACACTCAACAAAACCGTCCCTATATGTATAGTTGACATGTGATTTGCAACAACACACGAAACTGAACACAGTTTGCACGTATTTCTTCAGCTAAAAATACCTCCAGTTCTTTGAAAAATTCCTTGGTGTTCTACGTTTCTTCCTGTTCGACGGAACAATCGATTGTGTACTCAAACGTTGTTCGTAGCCACTGTATCCTGAGAAATATCGCTGCAACGCTCCTAGCACCGTGGGAGGTAGGCATGTAGCGAATACGTTTTAAAGACATTGTGCGTTGCACAAGCTTTGACTTTTTTGTTCCATCTTATTTCTATTTTCTTTAAATATTTTAATTAATTTTATTAATTAATTTATTTGTTTTTCTAAATTCACCCAACAATCTTAAAACATATTCGTAGTTTGTCACTGTTGGCTTCACAAGAAAACCAAAATGGTGTTGGGCAGAATGTGCCTGTGGACACACAATCTGAAAGTGGAGTTCTGGTGAACAATGGTTCACAACACGGAACATCTGCTTTGGGTAACCAAGGGCCAATCCTTATGGTTACCGTGCCGAGCAACTCTGTGGAGAAACCCAAGAAATTCAATGGGTTAAACTTCAAGAAATGGCAACAAAAGATGTTCTTCTATCTCACTACCCTCGGTGTTGCAAGGTTCTTGACCGATGACGTTCCGGTTGTAACCGAAAGTGAGGTGGATGTGCAAACTCTCAATGTAGTGGAGGCATGGAAGCATTCTGACTTCCTTTGCCGAAACTACGTGTTGAACGGGCTGCATGATGCTCTCTATGATGTCTATAGCAAGTTAGCCACGCCTAACGAGCTATGGAATGCTTTGGACCACAAGTAAAAGTGCGAGGATGCCGGTGCAAAGAAATTAGTTGTCGACCGATTCCTTGACTTTAAAATGGTGGATTTGAAGACGGTCTTGAGTCAAGTTGAGAAGATGCAAACGATCTTAAACGAAATTCGAGATAAAGGAATGACAGTTAGTGAGTCTTTCCGAGTGGTGTCAATTATCCACTTATTGCCGTCGGCTTGGAAATATTTTAAGAACTACCTTAAGCACAAGCGAAAGGAAACGAACTTGGAGCAATTGATCCTCCGTCTTCGGATTGAAGAGGATAACCGGAAGAACGATGAGAAACTCTCAATCGTTGGTGGCGCCAAGGCTAACATTGTGGAGCATGCAAAGGGCTCCAAGAACAAGAACAATGGGAAGGGCAAGCTCGGTCCCAAGGGAGGCGTTTCCAAACCGAAGTTCAATGGAAAATGCTTCAATTGCAACAAAAACAGACATGAGTCCGCAGATTGCAAGACACCAAAGAAGAAGAGAGACTCTCAAGTCAACTTGGTGCAATGTGGGCAAAAGGATGAAGAGATAATCCTTGCTGCTATGGTGACCGAGGTCAACCTCGTTGGATCCAATTTCAAGGAGTTCGTGGACACCAAAGCAAAATTCCTTTGTGTTCTTGTTTGTTCACGTTCGCTGGAAAAATTCGTTTGAGTGTTCAACGATTGTTCATAGTCATCATATCCTGGGAAACGATCGATGCAACGCTCCTAGCACATAGGGAGGCAACGAATACGTTTTAAGAACATTGTGCGTTGCACAAGCTTTGGTTATTTTCTGTTCTATCTCTTTTCATTTTTCTTTAGTCATTTAAATTAATTTTAATTAATTAATTTTCTTTATTTTTCGAGAACACACCCAACAGAAATTTGAGGACTGATTTCTTGCTTAAAAATAGGTGCTAGGCAGCCTCCTCAAGGTGCTAGCTCGTCCCTTAACCAACGGTATGAAAACAGTCCCGTAGAAAGGGTGTTTTCCGACGAGTTCGCTTCATAACCTTTCAAGGTTCATTCTAGGTTAGTATCTAACCTTTAAATCCACAAATTAACCTTCTCAAGAACATATTCTACACTAGTAATAGTGTAGAATAGTCTCCTCAATCGTTCATATGATTTAGATAATGAAAAGAAAGGTTTTGCGAGGAAAACAGTCTTTGCGAGTTTGTGTTTGTCTTACACGATTTTAAGGCCTTTATCTACTCCTTTAGTTGCAAGCTTCACATCCCTGGATTCCTTGTCTCGAGATCTTTCTTTAAACACATCACAATCCTATTCTGGATGAGTGTAGTTCGAGAAATGGAGTGTAAAATCCTATAGATTACAACTGTTTGGCCAGCAATCCTCTCCACCTCTCTTTTTGTGTTGTGTGTATCTATCTTCTTTTCAAGCATTAGTGAGTTCGTATGGAAGGTCCTAAGGGTGCTCTTAGACCTCTCTCCACGATTGGTAGGTTGTGTGGTGTGCAGTGGCGCACCCACCAAGGGTCCCACGGGGTCCCGGGACCCCATGAACTTTCAAAAAAATACCTATATATATTATATGTATTTTATATAAATTAATAATAAAATGTATACGTAAGACGAAAGCTAATTGAGAACATGAACTTGACATTGGAGCAGTGGAAGCATGCTTGAATTTAAAAGTTTAGCCACCTTGGAGGTGTAGGGTTCGATTCCTAGGTGTCTCTTTTTGTTTTTTCCCTATTTATTAGGGAAAACAACTTTTTTGGCAAGGGAAAACAGCATAAATAGTACTATAACACTAATACATAGAAAAACATTAGTCATTTAATTCATAAAAAATTGGTATCAAAATATAAAGTTAGTAAGCGTATTTCCGAATACTTTTTATTGGTTCAACATTAGTTTTTAATATCTTAAATTAGTGGATTTTTTTAAAAGTGACTCCATTTTATTTTTGTTCTACACTCAAATAGTTGACATTATTAAAAGCTAATTCTAAAGTATGTATTATTATTGGTTCATCGAAGATAGTTTGTATTAGGGGTAATTTGAGTTTGCACTCCATTTTATTGTCCAAATTGGACTTTGCATCCCGTTTTTAAAAATATTTGTTTTTGCACCCTAACCCCGTATGAAAAGACAAAAATGCCCCTCGATCAGGAATATGTTGAAGGCCAACAAAATTGTTATTGGAGGGGCATTTTTGTCTTTTCATAAGGGGTTGGAGTGCATAAACAAAGTTTTTTAAAAATGGGGTGCAAAGTCCAATTTGGACAATAAAATAGGGTGCAAACTCAAATTACCCCTTTGTATTACTCCCTCCGCTCCTATTTTATCTTCCAAATTGGTTTGGCACACAATTTAAGATAGTGGGTATTGTGTGGTGGAGAGTTGTGCAGAGGAGAGAGAAATGTGTAAGAAATGTTGTGAACCACAAATTCTTTACTAAAAAGGGAAAGTGAAAGTTTTAATTGGAATGGACGAAAAAGGAAAGTTGGAAGTTTTAATAGGAACGGAGGGAGTATTTAAAGTTATTTCCCCTATTTATTATTTTAAGGTGCCATAAATAACCGTTCGTTTCGAAAATTATTGGAATAAACATACTATAATGATAGGATATTATTTTTCTATCTGTGACATAAATATTATTTTTCTAAATGAACGATTATTAATTTTCTAAACGAACGGTTACATATGTCACTTCATTTTCTGAACGATCTTAGTTTTATACGACAGTATTAATTAGAGATTAGAGATATAAAAAGGTAGGGACCCCGTGACTCCGACTTTCTGGATCCGCCACGGGTGGTGTGGGACGAATGGGTATGAGGCTGGTTGGCAACATATGAATCAATCAAACATGGAGGAGGGCCCTTTGTCTGACTCAAAAGTCATGTGCAGCCCCTTATTCCATTATGTCCGCCCCTCCCTTTACATCTAACCTATTTTCTTTTTCTTGCATAGGGATGGCAATGAGGCGGGTTGAGGCGGGGGGTTCACTCCCCCATCCCCGTCCCGTGTCTAAAAAATCGCCCCCGCTCCCGCCTCATCCCCTACTACTATTCGACCCGCCCCATTCCCTGCCCTGACCGGCTAGACCCACGGGTACTCAACGGAGGAAATATTCGTCAAAAATTAACACTATTTTAGTTCCAGGCAGTTTTTCAAAAATCAAACAACGCTTCTAGTATGTAGCCAAAAAAACCTCTTAGTTTTTAAGTATCAATGTAATTTTACATCCCATTTCAAATCTAGAACACATTATACACATTTTGATTTAGTCATTTTATGAAACACTTTATTAGCATTGATTAGCTCTATAATATTTTCTTTAGCCTTTCATTCAATCAACCATGGTCATTTGACAGCATCTAGGATGACCTATGGTCACCAGATTTTTAAGAGCCCTAACTACAATCATAAAGATGACATTCATAAGAAAAAATTAATGCACTATAATAGTAAAAGAAGAAAACATTCACACTGTGCTTGAGGCGTTTAAGCGAATATCACTTTATAACTTTCCCAAATTCATCTTACTTTATATGATTTTGATAAGCAATTTTACAAGATAGATGAGTTATTAAACAAGAATTAGATAGACCCATTAG